GTTTCAAACGGCGGCTTGAAACAGCGGGCAGCAGGACTATATAGTCCCCAGCAGCTAGGAGCGGGCGCTGGATCTAGGCCTTTTCTTCCTCTTTTCTTCCTCTTTTCTTCCTCTTTTCTTCCTCTTTTCTTCCTCTTTTCTTCCTCTTTTCTTCCTCTTTTCTTCAACATGCTAATGGTTCAGCGCAGTACATTCGAAACATCGCACAGCGCTCAAGCCCAATCCCAAGGCTGACGACAACAACAACACCTCACAAGCGCAAGGCAAAGACTGAGGACCGCGGCCGCAACCGACACACGCCTGGGGCTCAGCATACAAGCGCTGGGTATCTTGCGCGGCAGTGCAGCGGAACCCCTAATATACTGGCCACAGGCAGGGCGCGACGCGACTGCAAATTCGATGCGAGTGCTATACGACTGCAGCGACACTTTGAGCCAGTTTACGGCCTCCGAAACACAAGCTTGTTTATCAACTCCGCAACATACCCAGATGCAGAGTTGAGAGCCAAGGCCCACGTAGCACTCTCATTGCCAGAATGGATCGTTCTAGTCTACTTGGATGACTCGCGACCCATTGTCGGCCAAGTGGATTGCTTTGCAATACCAGCATCTTCTATATGCGAGGAGCAAACCCTGCGGTCATGACTTAAGAAGTCGGAGTATCTGGCTGAAATCAAGCATCAGCGACTACTGTTAAACAAAACCCATTGTTAAACGTAAGTACACCACTTTGGGGCATTTTTCCCCGGAAGCGCTGCTAATATAACTTGTGTCTCTACAGAAATCTGATTCTCGTTCCCAACGACACACTAATGTCTACTATTTACCCACATTGGTTGAGAGCGGTCACCGTATACGGTGTAGTGTGGTACTTTCGCAATACATCCCGCACCCAGGATGTTGCCCTGGCTTTTTCGAACAGCCTAAATCTTAGCGAGGACGTTCTGGCAGCGGTACTGGAGCGTGCGGAACGACTTGCTGCTTCGAGAGGCACAAAGATACTCGTCACAAACTTGGCCAAAACCTGTGTCATGGCTAGCGGGACAGCGTCGAGCGTCGTCCGCGACTTCTTTCTCGCCCAAGAAGTCATGTGGATGCAGATGGATTTGCTCCCATGTTACATCAAGCTCCGGGTCTTTGGTCCTGGCTATGACCAGCTCTTAGTCAACGAGAGGTTGCGAGCCGTGGACAGAATCACCGATGACAACAACTCAGCCACAAGAGGACCGTTGTTGATACCATCTGCCACTTTAGAGGACGCGGTTGACTTGGTCCCGTCCGATCCCGTCAAAGTGTCCACGGTAACCCCCGTGCAGGAACTCACAGCGACCGAGCTTGACGAAACCGCAATATCTGCTGAGTTCGTGCTTCCAGAAACTCATAACAGCGCCACCGCGACACTCGCCAACGATCGAATCTTCCGGGCTTCTCAAGCTACTCCCGTGGAAGATATCAGTGAGCCCAGTCGCGGCAACGATGCTGAGCCGGCGACGGAGACGGCGGGAGACATTGCCAAGAAACTCAGCGCTTTCCAGCACTGCCCAGGCATCACCAGCGATGGTACGAAATGCAGCCGCCGGAGGATCATGACGCCAGAGCGCAGCACGGAGAGATGGTTCTGCTCCAAGGCCCATCGCAGACAGTGGCATGATGGTGAGACCATCACTAGGTAGATGTCTAGCACTGTTGGAGCATTCGTCGGATAGAGTATGGTAAATGATTTGGCTACCTCTTTGGTTGCCCTTAAAGTTACGTTAGTATTGAGCTTGCTGCGTCTTGTGTCAACTCGTATATGCTATCTAAAACTCTATCTACACTTTTTTTGTTACAGCGATTCGACCGTGAGATCTGTTGCAAGGAGAGCCCGCTCTACCTCCAGCTGCGAAACGCCGTTCGAACCCCTCTTCACCCACAGCCTTGGTGCTTCAAGCTCTCTCGCAGGGCTTACTCGGCTCGCTCGCGGTCTGAGCGCTCATGAGGTCTCTTGCCATGTCAAGACGCGGTCGCGAGCAACTCTTTGTGCTTTGCGCTTGGTTCAAGTGCGGTATGTACAATATAGCTGGGCGATCAAGTGGCGCACGTTGAGAGAACATTGTGCGCATAGCTTTCGCGAGTTCGCCAGTGCGGAACACGGTCGTAGCAGGATCTCTTGCGTAGGCAAGCAACTGGACATTAAACTTTGATCGCTCCTGGTTGATAAGCTGGCTGACGCTTCCATGATCGGTAACACTTGAATCCTCAGCGCCAGCAAGATCCGCCAGTGTGAGCATCGCAAAGCCGGCTCCCCTTGGGATGAGGATCTGACAGATCAAGTGACTTCGTGAGGAGTTCTTGTTGACCGCAGTGGGCAATGTCTGCCGACTGGCAACAGTCCAATCTACAAGAGCTTGAAGATGTTCTGCTGAAGTAGCCGAGTAGGCTACTACCCGGTTCTTGAAAGCTGACAACTCCTGCCTTGTGCTGCTAATGGAGCGGAGCTTGGCTGGTGGAAAAGTTACCGATTTGTTGACGACGCCGTCCTGAATACTGTGTACTATCTCCGTCGCTGCGAAGAAGACTTGGCCTAGATGTAGCTGATGAAAGAGTAAGTCCCCAGCCCATTGAGCAATGCAGTCACGTGTCTCGAAGAGTGTGTAGGATTTCCCGGTGCCGGAATAGCCATCGGCTAAAATGACAAATCTGCCTCCGCGAACTGCAACAAGCTCGATTGCCTTCTGCATAAACAGGCAGATGTCGAGATTCATCGTCTGCGCACTGAAGACGTGAGGGAACTCATACTGTGTGAGCAAGCGGTCTGGCGAGTTTCTGTGCTCTCCCTCTTCCTCTTTCTTTGCTTCATGAGGAAATAGCTCGTAGATCTCCAGAGCGCGTTGCGACGCAGTGACGAGCTTCTGTGACTTGTCGAATACCTTTCCGGGGGTATCAGAAGCCGTGGAGAGAATGTTGGTCACCCGCGGCACACAGAGCACTAACCATTCTTGCTCAGCCCAGCACGTCTCAACGGTGATGGGTAGTGCTACAGGGGTAGGCGTTGAAGAAAACCGCTGTTCAGCTTCAGGAGATATAATGGTGTCGGCAACATCAGGGTCGCCATTCATGCACTCATTGAAGGGAACCGGAATAGCATCCTCCAAGTCATGAGTTGCTTCAATAAGCCTTGTCTCAGACACTCCGCCTGAAGTCTGGCGTTCATGGTATCTCGCAGCCAGAAAGGGCGGCTCATCCACATCATACTCTGACACGTCTGTGAGTGATGCTAGCCGCAGTGCCGAATCCGCAGTATGGGGGTCGCGCGTTTGTACCATGGAGACTTCGACCTCGATAGGCGCGGGTTGTTCTTGTCTTGTTGTGTCGACGACCGAAGAGGACTGACCAAGCGACACATGTTCTCCTCGACGTACGGTAGATGAGTGTGCTTGCTGGGCGCAAGGCGCACCCATTGTGACGAAAGCATGATGCAGAGGCATTACGAGGAAGTCAGGAGTTCTAGCACAACATCAGCAAGACATTTTTAGATTGCATAGGCTACGTAGCAGCTAGGGATAACAGAAACCTACCCGCGGAAGAGCCTTCGAATGAAACCGAACAAACATTTGGCTTTGATGAGATACGGCAACCAGTACCGGAGAAACTTGACCCAGGCAATTGTGCGAAGAGAAAGCCTTTCGCCACACACCTCGACCAAGCCACATACAAGTTCATCAAAAACCCACGGTGCTGCCAAATAGACTACGGCATAACCTAGTGCTTCTCCGAGAATCGACCGGACCACGCCACCGTAAGCTTCAGTATTCAAGGGATTGACAAGAGGGTCGCTGTAGCGTTGAAGTATGCGATCGCGTATCTCCTGCCAGGACTCTACGCTGCTAGTAGGTTCTTGGCCTGAATCGCCATTACCGGTCGCGACAGTATTGGGGGACGGTTCAGATGTGCCCTGGTGGGGTTGGTCGTTGGGATCGGGTGTTGATGGCGAACTCATCGTTTCGAGATCGAGTGGCACGTTGCCGACTTCAACCGCTGTCGAGGATGATTCCGATATATCCTGTGGAGGGTGGTCGTGGGGATCGGGTGATGTAGGTGGAGCGCTCATAGTTTCGAGGTTGAGGCGTTGGTGTCGCTTTCTATTGTTGTTGCAATGATGGCGCAGACAAAAAGTTTCCAAGTTTTGATGAGATCAGAATGGCTTGTGGTATGCAGGAACGCAGTCTTCAGACTTATATATGTAAGCGGTCAAGCTGAATTAGGTGAACCATATAGGAAGACACTCCCCCGATTGTCTCAGATGAAGACAATGCAACACATGACCGAGACGTCTTAGTACATGTATTATATCCGTGTTAGACAATTATTGTAACGTTATTGCGGAGTACATAGCTGCCGTTCCAGGCGGTCTGCTTCTATTTTACCAGTATGCACACATCTGTTATCAACGACTATCCTCTCCGAGTACCTACTTCTTACAATATGGCAACTGACCGGCTGGAAGCCTTAGAAAGGTTTCAGACAATGTTACGGGATAACGAGGTATGGAGTTGAGATACTGCGATCGTACGCAGCATTATACTAACGCTGTAGTTCATCATGGCTTTGCAGGAGAACCCTGCCCAGTCTCTTCCCCCTGACTGCAAGAAGGTGTTAACGGGGGTTGCATCTGCCTTTATCCCCGATATCAGCGAACTTCCCCGGAAGAAGAGCAAAGCTAGCGATGGTAGTTCAAGCCAGACGGCCAGAGACAAGGGAGTAGGTGGCGGCGGCAAGAAGAACGCAAAGAGCCCCTTCGTCACTATCCTGCGCCTCCAAGAGCTAGCGCTTTCACCCGTCGTCCAAGCCCACCTCGACACCAACAAGACTGACGCTCAGTCATTCTTCTACTCCAAAGAACTTGTCAACAACGTCCAAAACTACAGCAAAGACTCGACCGGTGAGGCAATGATCATTCAGTACCAATACACCAAGACCGTCTCTCGTCAGCTTGGTCTTAACAGCATTCGATGGCTCTTCCTTATGCTCATGTGGCACGATCTCGTTAAGCTTGCACGTCCCGACTGTACCGGCAACCGGATCGGCCATCTTATGAAGGTTCACCTTCTGGAACTCATCAAACCTGTGTACGCTAGCAGCTCAGACATGCAAAAGCTCGCTATAGAAGAGGTGGCAGATGAGTTGCATGCTTGGTGCAAGTTCGGAGCCAAAATTAACATTCTTGTGGAGAACTTCGGCGAGGGTTGCGTCTTCTACCTGCATAACATTCTCTCTCCAAACTTCCTCTCCGACAAGATGACAGCTTCTGGTGGATACTATGTTGAAGCTATCACCTATCTCCAAGACTCTCTACATATTACAAAGTTGCTAGATGATAATCCGCCAGTAGTCACGCTCGGCCGCAACATTCGAAGATACCTTGTCCAACCTTTTAGAGAGTCAAAAAAACAGATGTAGATAGTTAGAATTGATACATGCACTTTGTACATACAAGCTTGGACAATACACCGCCTCTTAGCTATTCGTCCTCTAAACCACGGCAACGCCAGAGAGAACGTAGTTGAAGAGGTTTGTCGACTTGGAACCCTACTCTTCTTAGCACCAGTTTGGAGAAGCTTTAATCAATCACCAGTATGGACGGCGGCTATATCGCGCAATCTTCTCCTTGTACTCACGAAAAACATGGTCGAATGGAACGACTTGAAGCCTTTACTCATCTGGGTGCTCTACGCCGCCGCAATCGAAACCAAGGATCTGGCAGAACGTAGCCAGTTCGTCTTCATGCTTGGCATCCTGATGAGTGGCATGCAGCTGCAGGCGTGGGATGATATCATGTTGATTGTGAAAAGCGTATTGTGGGTGGAAAAGGTTTTCGCAGGTACTGATGAGTTGATTCGCGACGAGGTTATGCAGATTGTCAACCACAATCCTATGAACATGTTCCCGGTTGAAACTACGCCGCCGCCAAGTTTCTTAGACGACTTTGCGGCGGAAACAGAATAGAACTAGACTAGATCTGGAAAGAAGACACCCTTGTTGCTGCAGTTACCAATAGCAAGACTTAGCATTGCTGCTTGACCTCGCTCTCTTACAGTCGTTGTACGTACAGTAAATGCCCACCACGACTGTAGGGAGCACATATGAAGCTGCCGTGAACGATCAATACTTGCAGCTACCCTCTACCTAACTATAGATTTGCATCTAGGGTGCTCTTGTGATTTGCATCCGGCTATCGTGGCAGAATGGTCACCGGAGGCCCACGGAAGAAATTGCAGCTGACCAGAGGCACACGCGCTATCATGCCATAGCAGTCAAAAGCTCTGTTCCTTAGCTAGGGAGTGCCCAAGTAAAATAATATGTATATGCTGCATGACTTAAAGAATTACATCGTGTTGACAACTATCCGTACTCTTGCACAAACTATGATCTAGGTGCCCTTCCGTTGTAGTTCATTCCCGGCTCTGCTGTATAATTTGCGAAGCAGTCATAATTGAAGTCGATTTCCGCACTGCGCTTCTGGAGGAGCTCGACAACGTGGTCGAAAGAGCAGAGACCGTTTGAATCAGCGGGACATCCTGGATGAGACTCGTTGATCGGCACAACGGCATCGTTGCTAGTTGGCCAGGTTAGCTGGGTATGGAGTTTCGAAAGAAAGGAGTATACTTACACGATGAATCGGATCTGCTTTGTTGGTTGCATGGCAGGGCAAGAAAGAACCTGAGTAGTGAAGTGGGTGGCAAACGGCACGAGCTTGCTAGCTACAAAGCTGTTCTGCCCTTCATTACCAAGAGGACTCAGCGGTGGACCCTTGAACAAGGCTGTCAAGTTGAATGCAGTAAGTGTATCAAGAACGACAACTTCGTGCGTAGCATCGGCATAGATAGACTGGTCGAGCGGGAAGTACGTCGAGGAGTTGTCAAAAGTCTCGTTCAATGCGGAATTGGCACCGGGATATTGATGGGTGAAGCGTGCGATGAATTCGTCTAGGAAGCCTTTGCCTTGGGCAGCAGAGACAGGAGATCCCGGACCGTTGTTGTAGTAGAAGGACAGATCGAAGTAATACTCGTAGTTCAGGAAGTCTTGTTCGTTGAAGAGGTTGCAGAAGGCGGAGTAGCCGAGAGCGTGCGTCTCATACGAACACAGTTGAAGCATAGCGATGGCGTCGGTGGAAGTAAAGTTGATACCGCTAGCCTGCGACTGCAGACGAGCGAGAGTGGCGTTGAACGCGTTGTTCGCAAACTGAGCTGCTACACGGCTACCGATACTGCCTCGGGTCGCAATGTTCGAGTTGTTGCAGATCTCGTAAGGTGCGCCGGAGTTGTTCACGCCTAGAGTCTCAACAAGCAACTCGATGTTGACCTCGTCCATGTACTCGGGTACACCAAAGAAACCGGCAGCGAAGTTTTCCGCAGTCTTCACCATCCGGTCTTGGGACTGTGTTCGGAAGACCGGAATGGTGCCCGCTTCAGTAAAGTTGTTCAGAAGATGGCCATACAATTGGCGGTACTCAATGCCCAACAGGAAGTTCATGCTGCGACCCGACGGTGTTAGGAGCTCGGCGCCCAACTTGTATGTCCAGTCGCTCAGGAAAGAAAGCTCTCCAGAGACTGCAAGACCAGTTTTCGTAGCGTTCGCAATCTTCTGAGCAAAGGTAGCGGGCGCAGCGCCACTGGTTGGGTATCTAGCGCCGTGACGGTAGAGCAGATGCATCTGGGTGATGTCGCAGCCATCCGGGATCAGAGGACTGGCATCAGGAAGACCGTAGTCTGCGCTGCGAACCGAATACCATGGGCTCAAATTACCCCAGTATTTGGTGATGTCAAAGTTTGGAGACTGCGAGCCACTGCCGTGGGGCTGTGGCTTGATCAGAGGGTATGAAGATGCATCGCCATCGTTGTAAGGATACGACGGTGCTGTTTGGATGGCATTCGGCTCGGCGCCTGTGGGAGTTGCTGATGATTATTGCGTTAGTTCAAAGACCAGAGCTCAAGGGAATGTTGGTGGCTTACGGCCAGGGAAGCCGACGACAGACTCTGGCGGAAAGAGTTCGGAGTTGACCTCGGCTATACAATCAACCCATCAGCATTCCGCTCTCTGCGCAGCTTCGATCAGACTTACTGCCAGCGGGAGGATACACATCTGCACTGCTTGCGCCTGCGTTCCCAGCTGCCGAGATTGTCGTGGTTGGTACAGCTCCAACCCTTGCAAGGAGGGCAAGCAGTGCGCCTTTACGGGCGGTGTTGGTCGTGATGCGCATCTTGACAGTCGCAGAAGCCTAGGTCTCTCAAAAGGTATGTATACCAAGGAAAACAAGCTCCGACAAGCCTCGATGCCCAGCAGTGTGGGTGTCCCAGAGACCCATTTTATAGTCCCCCAAGCCCTGCAACGGTGGAGAAAGGCGTTAGAGTTGGGCATTTCGCTACCGAAGGGATACACGCGGCTCGTAGTAAGCGTCGCGCAACCAATGGGATGCGGGATTACCTAGGTATAAACACATGCGTTGACCAATACTTCAGCAGCAGGGATGCTATTACTTTAATAACAGCACTAACGTCTGTAGGATGCAGATATTACAGTACCTAGGTACTTATGCAGTAAAGCATGTGTTAGTGCGGGGGACCTGTGCAGTTCCTAAGTCCTAGTCTACAATAACAGCGTTAGACTATGCTGCTTTGAGTGCCGCACAACAGCGTTCTTGTCCACCTTTAAGCACATTAATAGGAGCACGTGGCAGGCGGATGTATGGTGACGAAGGGCTCTTTGCAGCAAGACACGCGTTGAGGAAAAGTGTTCAGGCTACATTGATGCAGAGATAACCCGGCCAGAATGAGTTCATCGGTTTCGTCATCACATGCGAGTCCAGTTCACTTCCAAGGTTACTTTTCGATGTTGACGAGAAAAGGCTGTTTTTGTCATTACACGTCCACAGACTATTTATACATGGAATCGAGAAGCCCCCCGTTCTCGCCAGACGCAGAAAAACCAAAAACGCCAGTGCCAATGCCGATGTATCGATGAGACGCAGCAAATTCAACACCGCCCAGAACGACTGATATGAAGACCCCGGTACCCACCCATAACCACGATCTCATCAGTCATTAACATGTGATCCATCAACGCCGAACACAAAGAGAGGAAGGTAGCATCCAAGTCGCGATACAGCGCGTGAGCAACGCGACAACGCCTTACAAGCAACAAAGGAACAAGCGCTACAAGCTAAAAGACTCAAACTCATGCCTGTTCAACAAGACGGAGAAAAGAGGAAAGCACTAAGCGATAGGCCATCGAGTACGCAATCCTTGTGTCCATTGCCCGTAGAGGATGTCGGCCAGTATCCCCTGCTGCTCCATACCAGGCTCGACGTAACCAGGCAGTTTCTTCTCGTCAAAGTAACCGTGGCCATCAGCCCCAGAGCCCTTCTCGCCGACCACAAAAGCGCTCTGGCGGCGTTTGTGAGACTTGAGGTGAGGATTGTTCTTGGCCATTACGAGCTTTGGTCCCTTCAACGGAGAGCCCGAGTTGGCGATCGGTGTCCCATTTCGTGTCGGTGTCGATATCGGAGTGTGGTCATTCTCCTCTGAAGACTTGCTGACGGTCGACGTAGCTGCACTCGTCGTGCTTGACCGAACACGTGTTGTACCTGTACCATGCACAGTTGTACCACCCAAGCTAGTGTCGCTGGTTTTGGTGTTATGCTTCAATGGTGATTGGGCGGGCGAGACTTCTATGCCGAGAGCGTACGCAAGCTTTGTGTCGTTTTTGAGGCGGTCCATCATAGCCTTCAACAACATGAATTCGCCATGTGGGTCGATTTCGTCAAGATGCTGCCAGGCCTGCGCAACTCGTCCGATAGCGTCGCGTTGATGGGGCGATGCTGTGTCAGCATGCGCTTCTTGAAATACTGAGTCCAGGACCTTGCTGTACGCTCGGCGACCGTATAACGCGTCTTTGGTAATTGGCATGTGTCCATCGGGAGCAGGTGGCTCGTTCTCGTTGTTCATGTCCAGTGGATGGTTGGACGTGGGAGGTGATGGGCGGAAGGTGCGCGCTTCGGGGTTCGGCTGGAAAGACTGGTTGTTCTGAGCAGACGGGTTGCTAGGGGGGTTTGAGCGAAGTGCTGCACGACGTTCGCCAGACGAGACGCGCTTGAAGTGTCGTACGGTCGATGGCGAGTTTCCAAATGTCAGATCGACACCCAACGGCGACTTGTTGAGATTGCTGACGCGACGAGCGGTGGGTGTATCGCCAGACGGAACGCGGAAAGCCGTGGCTTGGGAAGTTCTCCGAGAAGATGGACGTCGTCGCGCTGGGAGTGGTGAATCGGTTATGTCACCCAAAGGTGCTGCGTTGAGGTCCATCCGTTGCATCATGGATTCGACTTCATCGTTGCCTGAGGAGGGTATGCGGGCCAGTTTGCGACGCTGTTTCAACGTCTGGCGTGCTTGAACGGTCCCTCGCTTGACGGTATCAAAGTCCCAATCGTCTTCCTCGGCTCTAGGGGAGAGATCGACCCTGATGAACCTGTTAGCATACTGTATAAGAAAGTCCGGTGAGTTACTAACATGGTCTCTTCATAGTACTTGGGGTGCGATGCCGCTTGTTGTTCCCTTTGGGCGTCGTACATTTGCTTGCGCTCGACGAGCTCGCGCAATGCCTCGACCTTGCCCGCGCGTTGGACGAAGCGGTGTTTGAGGAGTTCCTTCGCGGTCGCACGTCGATCCGGATCCTTGATTAAACATTGTGCAATGAAGTCTTTAAAGTCTTTGCTCCATTCGTCGCCCTCCAGCCTTGGTGCAGGGTTCTTCGGAATCGTGAAGAGCACCTTCATGGGATGTGACCCAGCGTGTGGCGGTGCGCCCTCTGCCAACTCCATAGCGGTGATTCCGAGGGACCAGATGTCGGCTCTGAAATCATAGCCAGCCTCCTGGATGACTTCGGGCGCCATCCAGAAGGGTGTACCGACAAACGTCATGCGTTGTGATTTGATATTTGTGAGTTGTGCGGCGACACCGAAGTCGGCGAGTTTGACCTTGCCTTGGTCTGTGAGGAGTACGTTGGCGGCCTTGATATCGCGATGGATCTTGCCGGTCGAGTGTAGGTAGTCTAGCCCGAGCAGGAGCTCTCGGCATGTGATGGCGATGTGTGCTTCGCTGAAAGTGCCTGGTGCCAACTATGACGGTTAGTCTAGCTATGTGATGTCGGTGGTGTGACTGCGTACCAAGTCGGCGGCCGAGCCTCCCCCCAGATACTCCATGACTATCCATAACTTGACGCCCTTGACGAAGCTGGTCTTGTACTCGGTAATGTATGGACTGTGGCAGGTGCTCAGCAGCGAGATCTCGGCTTGGATGTCGGCGAGCTCTTCGCTGCTGTCTTCGAGGTCGATGTGCTTGATGGCGACTGTCTCGCCCGTTGTGCGGTCAATGGCTTTGAACACCTTTCCGAAGCTGCCGCCTGCAATGGTCAGTAATGGCGAATCGACCAGGCTATGTCAAAACGTACTGCCCAGCTCCTCCATGACTTGATAGTTTTCGGCCATGGCGGGCGATTACAATGTCGCTAGGCGGAGCGCAATGGCTGAGAAATATGCGATGTGGTCGGGGTCGGGCCAAGATAGATGCAGTGGTGTTTCGGCGGAAGACGGTTGGGATAGGAATAAGACTCGGCTGTGGTACTGGGCTGCTCAATTGCGCCGCCGTTGTGGTGTATATCAGAGTATCGCGCAGGGTCCAGCCCTATCATCGCCGAGGCAACCAGCCTGATCGTCAAACAAACGCACATCCCCGCCGCCACCTTTTGGCGGAGATTGGCATGACGTCGGTAGGTATCAGTGCTGTAGAAAAACAACACAGGTCGGGCATGTCCAGGACAGCGCACCAGACGTCGGAGCAGTATCGCGGAGCCTTTGGCATCCAAGATCAGTTTGTCCACGCCATGTCCAGAGCAGCCTATTCCACTCCTCTCCAATGTTGCCCTGCATGAGCTCCCCACTGCGGCTGTCATGCAGCAGCGGCTACCAAAACCGTCAGCCGTCTTGCCAATAGACGTGTGTGGTGGTGCATCGTCTGCGCCTCATCCCGCCGATGATTACTTTTCCGGTTGCTGAGGGAAACGTGAGCTAACGACATGGTGCTGCGAGGCACTCCAGGCATGTCAAACCTACCATGCCACTCACCGCCAGCTAGGCTGGATTGCGAACAGTCCTCGTAGCCTGAAACAGGCCGCCTGTACAGCGCACTCCTGGCTGTTGCTGCAAATTAGGACGAGGGCGACGATGGGCCTCCATGGCTGTCTAACCGCCAGGGCACGCGCACCATGTTATCCGTCGCGGTTCTCCTCAGCAACCGCAAAATTAGAGTCTAGTACAAGATGACCACTACCCGTCGTTGACCGGACACTCGACGTGCTACCCAGCTAGCTCAAACTTGACGGCTACATGGGTCGTGTTCTGAGGTGTCAAATTACGTGGCCCGACCCCTCATCTCCGCAACATGGCAGTGTCGTCTCGAGAATGTGGGACCGAGCATGTGTTCGACAGTAGACTGCACGTGTGGTGACCTGTACGTCTGAGTATACCATGGAGCAATGAGCGAGCGGCAGCAGATAGAAGACAGAGCAGACGTCGCCCTCAACAGACGGACATTGGTTCACCGTCTCCACACAGGGCCTCCGTCACGAGACTAGCCGCGCAAGCAGTCCCTTGGACATGCAGCCAGGAGATGGGTTCCTGGATTGGGTTGTTGATGGCCTGAGCACGGCGCGCGTGAGCGACGGCTGCACAAAGACTGCGGCTTCGGCTGTAGGAATCTCTAGATACTCGTTGCCGCTCTGAACCCCGTGGCATGCGCTCTTCAATGTCTTTGGTATGAGTTCTTGCGCCGCTGGCTCAACGCTCTTCAAGTCTTGGTTCTCGTGGTTTAGAGGGTCGCTCCTTCTCCGATTGGTCGGCCTCCCTACAGCGCTTCTAGCCCTTTATCTCGAAGTCTACGGCAGCTCCCCAGCCGCCGCCTCGCTTATTCTTCACCGACTCGCTCGCCGCGCTCGTCTCTCAACCATTCTCTGTACGCTCAAGGAGGGACAGTACGTCAGCAATACCATCTTCTTCGTCGGAGGAGCAGACTCCATGGACAGAGCACAGACACCGACAACCCTGCACGACAAAGGGGCCGAGTCGTCATCCCAGTCGTCAATAATATCCTCCAACGCCCCCGACTCCAACGCTTCTTCTCAGTCTTCACCACCCAAGACCATGCCGTCGCATTCTCGGTCCAAGACGGTCGACGTCATCGGGCAAGGCAAGCGCCTGTCCCTGCAGTTCCCCATCCAGCCAAGTACGGGCATCAGTTCACCAACCTCCTCGACACGGTCGCGCCCGCAATCATGGATGAACGGGGCAACGTCTGTTCACTCGCCCGAACCCGAGGATTCTACTTCCGAGACAAACATTCTGGCGGTTCTCGCTGCTCAAGAGCGCTATGTGCTCGAACTCAAAGAGGAGCTCACCAAAGCAGAGGCTGACCTGAACACGCTGAAAACGCACTGGACTCATCACGAAGCGAACAAGCGTCGCAATGAGGTGCGCAAGGTCGCCGCGCTGCAGCCTCTGAACACATCGCTCGCCAATGCTCCACCGGGCCAATACGAAGACGATGGTTCGAATTCGTGGATGCAGAAAGAGATGGAGCGCAGGAAGAACCTACTCAGCAGCACCAAAACATCCCAACGGAAGGTCTTCAGCGGCTCGCGACATCTAAGAACCCTATCACTACTCTCTCCCGACCGCCTCCAGTCGCCATCATTCCCCCAGCCACTCGATCTACACGACGACCCCGCTTCCAACTCCCGACCGCAGCTTCCTGCACGGGCTTCCACCTCGTCAGAGATCACACGACAGGTCGTCAATGCCGGCGAGCACGACCGATACGACATGGGCGGCATGCCCACCATACAACGTGAGCAGCTCATTCGGGCTGGCACTCAGATGGCGCAGGATTTCAAGAAGGGTCTATTCACATTCATGGAAGATATCCGACAAGCTACGGTGGGCGATGAAGCCGTCAACACGGCGGACGGCAATACTGGAATACCAGGTGTCAAGAACCCCTCTAAATCTGGCCGCAAACCGTCCGAGGGCCGCCCCGCCCTCAGTCGGTCCGCCAGCTCGAAGAAGACCACACAACAACTAGGTTCCACTGGCGACGACTTCTGGAAGGAGATGGGCCTGGGCGAGCCCAAGACTACTGTAGTCAACAAGAAGACGCACGCACTCAAGAACACGACGACCCCGCAAAAGCAGATCCGCAAAGTTGCATCCGAAGAAGACTGGGATAACTGGGATACCCCCAACGAGTCACTTCTGGTCGACTTGGAAGACTCTAAGGACAGCTCAGATGAATCGGATGCGCAGACCTCGCCGGTATCCGGCCCAGGCAGCTCTCGAACTAGCACCAGCACCAGATACCATTCGAAGCGTCACGATTCCAAGGCATCGTCGCTCACCTCCATCAACCAAGAGGACCTGACACCACGAGAGTCAAAGCGCAGCTCCATCCCATGGCCTGATATGACCAAGGTGTCACCCAGCAACCTGAAGCGTACCGCATCACATCTAATGAAAGAGTGGGAGAAGCAACTCACCCCGCCCCCGGAATCGAGGAGTGAAGATTACTCGCATGGCGATTTTATGAACTGAACGTTTGAAACGGTAGTTGCATTTAGCGATTTAGCATTATGACGCGACGCCATTAACAGCAATGTCTAATTCAGTGTTGAAGAACTTCTTGAAGAGGTGGTTTGCTGTGTGGAAAAGTTCAAGGTATAGCATGGCGTTGGCGTAATTGTACATATTGGAACCTAGCTTCGGGTAGACATGTACCGTCGTAGAAGCATAATGAGAATCCGAATACCTCAAACCGACGCGACCAAAACGCTTGGTTGCAACATGTGTGAACACATCCGTGACGCTGGAGTGGCGGTGCCAAGACCCACCTGCCCGGCATTTCCCGTCCTCCGCTCTGAACTCCGCAAAAGTTCCCGGCGGCGGCGCATGGCATCGCCTTTGCAACAGTATCACTTGTACCTCACGCTTGCTTCGTGCCGCAGTCGTACTCAGCTTCAACAAGATGGCTTTTCCAGGAGGCGTGGGCTCCATGCCAGCCGCCATGAATCCCAATGCAGGCATGTCCGAGCAGGAGCAGCAAATGGTGAAAGCAGTATGTGCGACCCCGTCTCCTCTATACAGTTGCGGTGGAACATAATAGCATGTCGCGAGGGCGTAGCTGGCTATACAAGGCTGTCAAATAACATGTTTGGGGAACCATGGCTAACGTGCGAATAGATGCAAATGGGTATGGAGTCTTGCATCGGCAAGACAGTAATGGCAGGCGTAATGGGTGGCGGTCTGGGTGCTATGTTTGGGCTCTTCATGGCTTCCGTATGTGGCCAAACAACTCATAGTTTCGAAAGAAAGAGAAGGCACGACTGACATGCACAGATGCGATACGATACCCCGATGTCACAGCCCCTCCCCGTCAACACGCCGGCTACAAAACCTACAACCGCAGCCACCGGCGCAACGGCAACGGCAGGCGTCAAGCCTTCGACGATAGCTACCGGTAGCGTCAACTCCGCATCCGCAGCCACTCTCACCCCAGCACCCTCGGCCTCTGCGACTGCTACCCTTCCAAACCCCACCGCTACCGGTACCGTACCGCTTACCGACCTTCCCCTACGCCAGCAACTACGGGCCGGCCTGCGCGACATGTACCGATCCTCAATTTCTAGCGGACGCAACTTCGCCAAAGTTGGTGCTATTTTCTCAGGCACCGAGTGCGCAATCGAGGGGCTCCGAGCCAAGAACGATCTGTACAACGGAGTGGCGGGGGGCTGCTTGACTGGGGGTATATTGGCAAGAAATGCTGGGCCGCAAGCCGTGGCCGTAGGATGCGCAGGCTTCGCAGTTTTCAGTGCGGCCATCGATGCGTATATGCGTATGCCAGAGGACGAGAGAAGCAAACCTATCGCGTAATGTCTGTGAGGCGACCTTCACGACTATGAGTCGAACCTGGGTTGGAATTCATGTCATTGATGTATGTGTACGATATACCACAAGCGATGTTGGGGTAGACTCGCGACTTAGCATTGGGCGGCGTTTGGAGGATTCACTCTATCGAGACTCTCGACTTTACCAACGAGACTAAAAACAATATCAAGGGCTATGGAAAATAATCTTGGCCGTCTCTCAGTGTTACAAAAAAAGTTCGACTCAATATGTGTTGAATCAGCGCCGACTCATCTACTTCCAGCACGAGGCCCCCATTACTGCCACCAGCGCGATCCGGCCAATCAAAATTCGTGAGGGTCTCACACCAAAAAAGTCGGGCCCCACCGCCACCATCGCGAAATCTTCTACCACACCAGCGGCACGCCCTAGTCATATTGACGATCCAAACCTCGTAAACTTCCGAACTTAATATTAGGATCTCAACTTTCCACGTACAACAAACTGAACCTTCCTGTTTACCGGACTGCGACTACTGCCGGTACACCGCGCAATGGCAACACCCACTGCGGACCAGCAAAAGCCCATTCACTCGCTTATTTTGGATACGGGCCCATTGATCAAGAACACAGTATCGATCTCTACTATCATCAACGCCGCGGAAGAACTATGGACTACTCCTGCTATTCTCTCCGAAATCCGCGATGAAGCCACACGGTCACGTGTACAGACAACATTGATCCCATTTCTGAAGATACGGAATCCTCAGCCGGCAAGCTACGATGCAGTGATTGCGTTTAGCAAGAAGACAGGTGATCATGCGGTACTCAGTAGGCAGGATTTGGGTATCCTAGCCCTGGCTTACGAAGTGCACTGTGAGAGGAACGGTGGCGACTGGGGTCTGAGAGAAATACCCAAAGGAGAAATAAAGAGGAGGCCTGGAGAGGTTGAGCAGTCGAACGAGGAGAAATCGCAGAGTGGGGGCCTTTCCACCTCAGCAAAGAAGCGCAAGAACAGGCGGAAGGCAGCCAACAAGACTACCGAAGATACCGTTGAAGATGCGATGGAAGGCGTACAGATCGATTCCGGATCTGTCGAACCAGAGGATATTGATGAAGGCTGGGAGCAGCCTACAGGCAAGCGGGCGGCGAAGGCCAGAGCGCCCAAATCTACTAAGTTCAACTTCAAGCCCGCAGCGGAGTTAGACAGCAGCCTGGAACAAGCCAATGAATCGGAGGAGCAGACCGCCCAAGCTGAAACAGACGAAGCAGAAGGTGGAATAGCTGTCACTCAGGAGCAGGTCGAGGAGCAAGTACATGAGCAGGTTGTTGCACAGGTTCAGGATCAGGTTCACGAGCAGGTGCATGACCAGATTCACGAGCAACTTGAGAAACAGGGCAGAGGAGAGCTCGAGTCTCAAGCTGTAGAGCAGGCGGAGGAAAAGATCGAAGAGCAGGTTCAAGAGCAAGTTCAAGAACAGCTTCAAGAACAGGCTGGCGAGGAGGGGCCAATCGACCAATCGGCGGCGGTCGAGGTGCCCACCACTAACATCCACATCGAGCAGAAGGCAGAGCTCTCACTCGCGCCTGAGACCTCCAGCCAGCAGGATCTACAAACCCAGCAAGTCAGCTCTGACGAATCAAAACTGGCGCAGGAACTGGAGGACCTCTCGGTATCCCATCACGCCACTCAACAACCTACGCCCCCTACGACTGACGATTCAGCTGCGGAGTCTGACTCTGATGGTGACTGGATTACTCCACAGAATCTTACAGAACACCAAGCCAAGGACGGAGCCATCCAACCGCAAATTCACACAACAGCCAATTGCCAGCTGGACGTAGCAACCATGACGATTGATTTTGCGATGCAAAACGTATTGCTCCAGATGAATCTCCAACTTCTCTCCACAAACATGCAACGCATCAAGAACGTCAACACCAAGGTTCTCCGGTGCCACGCCTGTTTCAACATCGTCAAGCAAATGGACAAGCAATTCTGCCCCCGCTGTGGTCAAGCAACCCTACAAAGGGTTTCCTGCTCTACAAACGCCGCTGGAGAGTTCAAGATCCACTTAGCCAAGAACTACCAGTACAACAAGCGTGGCGATAAATACAGCATCCCCAAGCCCATCGCCGGTACTGCAAACACAAAGTGGAGTCATGGTCAGGGAGGAGGCAAAGGCGGCTGGGGTCGAGACCTCATCCTTGCTGAAGACCAGAAGGAATACACTAAGCGCGCTGAAGAGGACAAGAGGACCAGGACGAGGGACCTCATGGATGACAACTACCTGCCGGGCATTCTGACAGGCGATCGGGGCAGAGCCGGTGGCAGGGTCAAGGTAGGCGCAGGCAAGAACGTCAATGCGAAGAAGAGGACGTAGGATGCTGTTGTGGCTGCCACTGAGCCAAAGCAGTTGGGGGCATGCAGACTTTTGGTCAGGCGGACTCGGATGATCTGATGTGGTGGTGAAAGCCATCGGGTCACCCGGCTTACTGGGTTTTGGGCGTAAAGGTTCATGGCGAATGGTGTTGAGCCATGCTTGGTTGATCGTCGGAAGATATGTCTCAGATAGACGCATGATATCCTAAAAGTTTCTATTTGTCCTCTCTAGATATTTGAGTAGATGGCCCCCTGCCGCCTCGCTCCACCTGTCCCATTCGATTGCACACAAACCAATGTCTGACGACCGTACGGCAACATGATCCTCCAACCCTTCCAATATACCTCCATGCACCACACATTTGTATTATGAATGCGCACGATGGGTATCGTAGTGCACACCGCTTGTGTATCGCCGTGCTTTGATTATGTGCCATATCTGCATTGTCCAGTAGTCTCGCTTCCCAAAGCGCCACTACGCCTGTGACTGGGTGGCATAGTAGACCCGGGAAGCTGATTGTGGCTCGGCACGCTCGGTTATCTTATCGAACGTGCGGCCTCTATGTAAGGGTCAACGAGCTGCATCCAAACGAGCTGTATGCCGATAACACTTCAAGATACTCGGCACATTTTGCTGCATTGATACGGACACAGTAGTGCGTGCGCAGGTCCTTAGATCGGCAGTATGGCTTTGCGTATCTCTTATTCCGTGCTTCGAGTTGCAGGGTAGTTCTTGGATTCTACGTAATTTACCTGTACTCAGCATTCAGCCCCTGCGCTGCGGATGTGAAGCCATGGGTCCGTGTCTTGGAAGGCCTGAAGATATGACTCAGCAGGCACTCATTGGGGCGACGCCACTATAGTCTGACAGGACATGGTGCATACAGCGATGCTATACGGTGCCATCAATCGTATCCTAAGAGCTGCCTGGAAGTGGCTCAGTCGCAGGAAAGTGGCGCAAAATCTATCAGCTCGTGATGTAATCGACAAGCCAATGCGCAATGATTTTGAGCGAAAGGACTGGCAGTCAGCAAGTGTATTTCAGTGGTGGCTGAGATGTAGTTCCAGACTTGACCTCAAGCTGATGATCCTGCGCGGGTTCAGACGATCGGTGGCCGTCTCATCTGCCCCAGTGGTATATCGTGATTCGGAGCTGGACGCTCTCGTGTCTCACAACTGCGGAAACGTGGCGTACAGTGACAGCCGAGTCCGTGTAACAACGCATTACCCTTACATAGCTCCTTACATAGCACACATGTGGACTGTGCCCAAACGCCTCGCTTACGTCAATTCAGTCCAGCTTGAGATGTTGCGATTGGTTCTGGGGGCTCTTCGGGGGTGGATCACGTTTACCGGAGGTGCAGTGAAAGAGCGCTTTATGTGAATGGTAGGGCGCCTCGAGACCCCAGGCGACGGGGAAGTGACTGCCGAGGGGCCAGCATGTGAACGGCGTGGTATGAGAGTATACAAAGACCTCTGTTCCGTTACCATAATACTGAGGCTGCGATTGTCTTGTACACTATACTTGGTTTCTGTCTTTTATTGAGTCGTTATGGCGATTCTTAGTATTCTTAGCGCTTGGACGTCGCTTCCTAGATCGTACTTTAGACGCGTAAGTCTTGTTCAATCGTTTGTTGTTTCCTTTTTCAGCATCATCACACTTACCCACTCCAGCGATCGAGATCGAGATCTTCTTACATGCCCGAGTTCACCGACAACTCTAAACAGCTCGGCTCCTCCCCGGCTAAGGAAGCTCCGACCAAGCCCGGGGACCATCGCACCAGGATTATTGCTCGTCTTCGCGATCAAGAAATCCATGTTCCGGATGTGCATTACATATACACGGACTGGGCAGCTAAAGTGCACCCGGATGTTCTGGTGCTGAGACAGCATCTAGAGGGATACTTCCAAACGTTCATCAGTACCGAGAGCCAAAGGAAGAAGCAACGTAGGGTAGACAACGGACTCTGCGCGGGATACTTTTGGACACATGTGGAACCAGAGAAGTTCGTTATTCTAGGAGAGCTTGTTGCCTGGGTAACTTGGCCCAATTCCTTTTCGCGATTATCGACTGACGTAAACTGTAGTTCTTTTTCTGGGATGACGAGATCGATTGCGGTACTCTGACAGATGATCGTGACAAGACCGAAGCTTATTGTGACGATACAATTAACTTCATCCGACATTGCTTGCAGCCAGAACTCTCTGGCGAAGTTCCGGCACCGGGGCGGTTGCATAACTGCGGTCCATGGGTCAACATAGGAAGAGCAATGCAGAAGGGCCAGTCGAGAGGTACGTCCATCCAAAGTATGCTAGGCAGGTATCAGCTAACAAGCATTGCAGAAGCACGTGACCGGTTTGCTGAAACCATCTACGACTTTATCCGCGGCGTCAAGACATCTCAGGCTACATGGGCGCAAGGGATGTCTACTCTCGAGGAATATACAGCGCGCCGTTTGAGAACTGTTGGTACAAACCCGTGCATTGCTGTCATGCAATGGGCCTACAACCTCACTCTTCCACCATCGATCTGGAACCACGAAGCTGTAGTAGCCATAACGCGCGAAGTAGCCATCTCCGACTTCCTCTGGAACGACATTGTGAGCTTGCGGAAGGAGATAGACGACGGCGATATCGATTCTGCC